CGGTCGCATTGTTCACGCACAAACACACATTCAATCCACAGCAACTTGCCTTGTGTACGCGATAAATCGCTCCCAACATCTGATTGCCTTCTTCCGACGGACGGAACATTCCTAGTGTTTGTGGTTATAGTTGATCGCTCATCCTTTACCGCAACAGATGTCCTTCCCGAAAGGACACGAGGAAAGAAACCGTCCGTAATAAAGGTGGCCTTGTGCCACATTCCAGGGAAAGCAAGGTTAGGCTTAAGGTTGGAGCGAATGCAAGGCTAGGGTGAATATAAGAGTTACAGATACGGTTGTTGATTGGTTAGTTCTGCGGTTGTATCTGATGAAGGGTAAAAGCGAGAATTCGAAATGTCTGGCCAATAAAAATATCGTTACAGCGATTGCATCTAATGCTTCTGAACTGCTTCCTGCTCTGGGAGCTACGATCCATGCTAGAAAACATTGTTAAACGAATTATTTAGCGAGTTATTTTCACCCGACAGTCAAACGCACAGATTGTTAGGAGGACGCTGAATTCAAAGTCAGTATACTGATCTGTTTGAATGCCCTTGGAATTCAACTCCCTGTCACTCAAGCTTGTAAATCTATCGGAAATGTTTCGTCGTTTTTGGGTACGCACTGAATCAAACCGATCACGCACTTTTCCAAAATTATTTTATACTTTCTTGGAAGAAACTTAGTCGTATAGTCACGAGGAATAAAAATTTGCAAGTCCGGTTGTTTTTATCATGATGATAAAGAGCGACTGTTAGTCTCGATGTGACCCCTTCGATAACAGAAGACTTCGGCAAAGACAGCCGACTGAAGACAATATTATAATCTGGTAGTTCTACTACTGGGATCCCGTTAAGTTGGTGGGGGGGGAGGTTAGCTGTGGTGGGAGGGGAGCAGCCGTGATGATAACAGTAAATAACACCTGCCAGTTACCTGGGCAGTCGGCTTACTGTATCAGAAGTGATAGATCCCGTACGTTGCACTAGGCAGGGCAGGTAAAAATACCGAAGCGTGATTGAACTCACGGCTCCCGGTGGGGGCCTCCTAGCCCAGTTGGCTAGAGCGTTGGTGAGATTATTAAAGCTTTCCACTAGCTGGCATAGATTTTTACTACACTGAGACCGTCGAGTGTTTTACAAGTGGGTCGAATGAGTTATTCAAATCTGCTAAAGCCCCTACGAATAGCAGTTAGTGCCATAACTATACCAGCCAGACAACTGGAGTATGAAAAAAATCCTTACTCACCTCCCAATCCTGGGGATGTGACCGTACCCAGTGCACCAACTCCGTGTCCTCAGTCAGACCAAACAGTTGATCATCAAGGTAGGCCCGATCTGCAGCAGGGGAGGTCTCCAAACACGACGGTGACGATGAAGCCGGCACCTGTGCGAGAAAGACCTGCGGCAGAAAACACGACTCGAATTCGGCGACAAGGTCACTGGGGAGGGGCGTTCTGCGACGTTCCACCAG